ATTCTGGTGATTTAATCTAGACTGTTGTTCATGTGACCTAGAATTCTTCTGTGGTAGCATAGTGCCTAAGGCACTTGACTGCTAACTGGAAGGCTGATGGTTCAAACCCACCAGCCACTCCTCAGAAGTAAGGTTGGGCAATCTACTTTCATAGTGATACTGCCTCAGAAACCCAAGGAGGGGTCATTATGAGTCGGGTCCGACTTGACGGCACATAACAACAACATACAGATCAAGTAAATATTTAGTAGGTTTACCATGTGTTTCATTACTAGGAGCACCAAGCCTAAGTAGCCAATGCCATAATTACACACGAGTCAGACTATTCTGATTACTGTTTTGACTCTGCTGTCCATTATGGTAACCATGTCCACCTCGTCTTTGTCAATTAACTGCTGCCACTTTTTTCCTACTACCACAGGGTCCAATCAGCCCCATTGTAGTTAAGTGTCTTAGTTCAATTAGGGCAGTTCCCACTGTCAAATCCAGCTTACATAAAAGAGCAATCACAGCAGTCTTCAGGGATGCTGGGGCTCCCTTCACAAATTTGTTCCTCACCATACTGGTGAAAGGCATGTCCTTTGGGATCTCCATTTCTGGCTCTAGGGGTCTAATCTGATAAATCCATTCTAACGTCAATTTCCCTAAGCATCTGGATATTTCTGCATTATACCAAGGCAGGTCTGGTACTTCAACTTGGCTTAAGGTAGGCCACCTCATAATCCATGCTTCAGTAAGCCAAACAAATAAACAATTAGATCCTTTCCTAACCTCTCAAACTCAAACATTGAATGAAGAATCCATACTTAGTGGGCCTAAATCAATAAACTCAGACTGATCCAATGTTACATTCCTTGTGCCATTATCCCACATCTTCAGTAACCATTCCCATACATATTCTCCAGGTTTCTGTCTGTACATGTTAGCAAAATCAAGTAGGTCTTTTCAAGTATAGTGTACCACGTCCTCAGTCATACTTTGTATTTCACCTTTTGGGCTCACTTGGACTTAAGTCTAGTTATAGGTCTAGCAGCAACAATGGGTGGTTGGGGAAGTTCCTGAGAACATTCAGCAATATCTTCCATGGCATCTACCTCAGACAATGAATGACCCAACAGGAACAGTTGAGTTAATCCCATAAAACGGAAGTGAAAGGGATAATGGTTTTATAGTAATCCCTTCAGATGGAAGGATTCAACAGAATTTACAGGCTCGGTATCCTCATCCTCCTGACTTTCTGCTCATATGTCCCCATTCCAGGTTTCAGTATCCCATTTTTTCCCAATCAATCCCCTCACTTTAACTTCGGACACCATTCTGGGTTGGCAATTCAATTGATGTTGTAATTCAGC